TGCGGCGACCTCGGGTTGAGGACGCGCCGTGCTCTCGATGCCCGTGGCCGGTGTGTAAAGGTGGGGGTCTCCCCGCTTCGGACCGCCTCGCCTCGCCCTGGAGGTGAACAGCCGAGCGCGGCCTTCCTCCACGGACATTTTGACCCGGCCTTTTCAAGAGGGAGACGGCCGCCTTCTGCACAAGGGAGTCGGGTCTCTTCCCTGGCCGGGGCTCCTAGTTGCTGTAGTCATACAAATAAGGAATTATAATCATATACAGTTATAATCATAATGCCTTTGTATCATACAAAGATACTGAATAATTGAAAGAAGACGAGGCTAAAGTCCAGCGCCTCTGAAACTTTTTGATGCCTCTGCAAAACAGGTTCTCTAGGTGAGGGGAGGGTAAGGGAAAAAAAACCCCTCGTCTGACCTCAGGAAACTAAAGCCACCCAGGCCTTGCCCTCACTTACCAGGCAGCCAGCTCAGCTATTGCAGGAGGACAGAGAGGATGAATCAGGAGTCTTGAAACATGCACATGCGCTTTAGATGGCAGCACTGACCTATTTTATACAATTCTGGAAATCTGGGAAGTCTGTTTCCCTTTTCTCATTTAGCCTTTACTCCTGTTTCTTCACCTCTTTACACCCATACCAAGGAGAGAGAGGTAGTCAAAGTCAGCCAGAAGGCAGGGCAAGGTGCTATCTTAAAGACAAGCTAGTTCAGAGATGTGTTAGGTCTTGGAGGCAAGAGCCTGGTTTATCAGATGCATGGAACGAGTTGGGTGTTGCCTATGAAAGCTTATGCATATATGGAATATTCATCTCCTTTTGTGTGATTTAATTAATAACCCCCCTAAAAGTTACTTGTATCAATAAGGAGTTACCCCTTAGTGGTTACCTTAAAAAACTTTTTTTCTACCTCTGATAAACATTTCTCATTAAACAATAAATGGGGGCAATGCTGCAAATGGGGACCATTGGGTTAATATTCCTCTTACTACAGTAAAATCCATTGGAATCAACAGAACTTCACTGGAATAATAAAGCTAAGAGAGGAATTCTGGCTTCTCTCTAAACCACGAGTGTACGTGAGTTACGACTTTCTCCTGATACCTTAATATTTGTGATCTATACAGGTTCTTATTTATGTGAATGACAGGTCCTAGTGAAAAACAAGCCAATTAACCTGCAGATTGAACATGCAGGATCATTTGCTTCAGAACTGTAAAAATACAAATTAATTCTTTGTTGGAAAAATTGCTGGTTGGACCATTTTTGACAAGTCTGAATAGCATTAGATTTTTAACTATTGGGCCCTGTCCAGCTTTAATGAGTGAAATAAGTCACACGAGCTTCCTGGATTATATTTACAGAGCCTGCTGAGCTTGAGGCATGCATCTCTTTCTGGTCTCAACCTCTTCTTAGGGTTTAGCCTGTGATGCTGTCCAGTACAATCACAATATATGGCAATCTGGCTCCTGGAATAACAGGGAAATCTTCACAAGAAAATGTTCAGGGAGTCTCCAAGATGTTGTGAACTATGCTTTCTCTGGCTGACTGAGCATGTGTCATTTGAAGAAGAGAGCCATGTGATGGCTGAATGCTAGTACCTCCTTTCAAAGCTTACCCAGGGAAAAAAGAAAGATCCTGGGTCTTACCCACACTGCTGGGTATATTTTCTATTAGGGGTTGGGAGGCATTTTCCATATAGATCAATTAAATAAGGGGGTAAACTATGTACAGTAAAAGCTGTGTTATCTGGCAGTTTACCATCCGGAATGCTCTATTAGTCGGCATCTGTCACAGGCAGCAATACGAATCTTCCTTCATGTATCTGGAAAAATTCCAATAGTCATCCAGCATCTTGCCGTGTGTTTCTCATAGATCTGTTGTTGATGGAAACTTCAGGACACTGCCGAGTGGTGTCGCTAGCAGCAGTCTCATCTGTAAACATCCACCATTGTGATTGCACTGTGCTTGTGCTGTATCGTAACCCTCAGATAACTGGCATAATTGATTAACCGGCACCCCTATTCCCCATGGATGCAGGATAACAGTTTTTACTGTAGATAGGATGTGAGCACTCATTAAACTAGAAAGATTACAAAACAGAATTCCCAGGATAACTTTCTTTCTCTCTCCCTCTTTTTTAAT